TAATGGTGAATTTCACTAGGCATACTTTTTTCCTATCCGATGGATGCACCTACATCCAAATGTATTTGTACTGATTCTTAGCTATGAACCCAGTGTATTACATTTCAATGACTGAATAAGTTTTTCATTGGAGCATAAAAGTCCATCTAAGTATTCTAATTGGTTATGCCAGTGTTTCACTATAGTGCATGTGTAAGTTTATTTCAATTTTCTAATGATGCTTCATCTAAGTATGCTCTTGAACACTATGAACACTATGAACACTTAAATTACAGAAATACTACACCATAAAACGATAAATTATAGAATTATTCCAAAAAAAACCCACTATCATTATGTAATTTTTTTTTCGTTAAAAATAACAATAAAGATTCTATTGACAATTGATTGATTACCTGTTCCATTAATATAAACAAATAATCCAAAATCATTCGAATCAAATATTCTCATTTGAAATGCTATCAAATTATCTGAATATAAACAAAATAAGAAAATAATTCACATTAACTAATAATAATTATTATACAAACATAAAAACATTGATTGAAAAGTCAATCATGAATAGTGTAGGTTGATTAGATAGAAGAAAAAATAGATGACATGTACACATGATTAAAAATAAATATATTTGACAACTAAATTTTCATACATCCATTAAATAATGTTATGTTCTCTGAGAAATAAGTGTTATGCTCGTCAATTGATATGCTTGAATGCTATTACGAGTTCATCTTAGTCGGTAAACGAGAGCAAAGACAAATGATCCAGTGACACAATAGGCTATTCTAATCCGATTGCTCCTGACCCTGGTAACGATATCAAAAGTCTTGATATGGCGTAGAAAGTGTATTCTACAAGCACCAAGAAAGTATGAGGTCTACAAGCATACAAATCGAGTTTATTTATACATCATAGAAACATCCTTGGGAGAGCCACAAAAATAGCGTACTAAAATAACACATCAACCAATGACAGTGAAGGATTTTCCGAGTAAGAAATGTAATCTCAAGGTCACTTGATCAGCCTATGTACGAAAGCGCAAAACCCGAAATTAGGACCTTTATCAAATGACATCTGGAGATCTAACGTCCTCAACGATAAGCTTCAATACACACCGACAATTATGGACACACATTTGATTGGAACAATGTGGAAATACTGGTTAGGGGGAGTACAAAGAACACTAGGGGATTTTTAGAAGCTTGGCACTCACTCAGTCAGCAATCAACAAACACATCGACATTGACCCACTTTGTCAACCAATCAGAAAAATCATAGGTGACATATGATCAAAAAACAGATCAAAAGTGGGATACAATCAAAACAAAGGCGAAAACAATGACAGGTTTAAGGTCAACGACAACCAATCAAGATCGAGGTTAGCAGAACAAGCTACATGTCAAACGTGGAGAAATCCGAATGCTTCACTTCGATCTGAAGTTTGTGCTGATGATGTTGTTCAGAAGAACAATGAAAGCTCCACAACGAAAACACCCAGCTCAGAGAACCAAACACCACCACCACAATCATCCACCCGAGCTACAAATCTTCTCCACGATCTCAAACTCTTTTTTTGAATAAAAAACACATAGATGAGTTTATGAGTTAATATTACTGTGATCAAGAATAAGTCAAATGTTGTTGCTTTTTTTACTTCTTCTGAATGATTTTCAAAGTTGACACTGATTTCTAAGCAACACAGTTGTGAGTTCTATTGAATCTCAATTAGAAAACTAACAGCTCCAAACATGATAAGAGGAGAAGTAGGTTTAAGCGCAGGCTGATAAAAAGCCTACGGAATGATCGCGAGCAATGGTGGATAGCGAAATCAAGAGAGATGGAAAAGGCAATGACAACAGGCAACAGTAGATAATTATTCAGACTTATCAAGGAGACCGGAATTAGAAATCCGACTATTAGCGAAACTTTCTCGGAAAAGAATCGGACCGCTGTTCATTCGCAATCCAGGAGATTGGATCAATGAGCAGAGTACTTTAGGGAGCAGATCAATTGGCCTGCCACACTTCGGTTACCCACGATCTCCAGTCAACCTGTATGGTAGATTGATGTAAGTCCTCCAACTCCTAACGAAGTTAAACAGAGTATAGGCAATCTAAGGCGAGAGAGAGAGCAGCAGGCCCTGATAGACTGACCCCTAAGAATTCTAATTATGGTGCTCCAGTTTTAGCAGGTAGATTGACTGAAATCTTAGGGAGAATTTGGGAACTGGACGTAATCCCATCCAACTGGTCTCAATCACTGATAGTCCCGATGCATAAGAAAGGACAAAAGTCCTTTTTTGACAGTCACAGAGGAATCAGTTTGACTAATATAGTGTCTAAAATATTGGTTTCATTGATACTTCGATGCCTAACTAGTGGTCATGAAGAGTAGACTCGTTTCAAAACTGGACGTGGCTGTATAGACCAGATATTCACTTGATGTCAGATCACAGAACGGAGACACACGTTCAGACGTCCTCCAACGGTAGTATTTTCTCGACCTAAAGTCGACATTTGACTGTGTTGATCGTCAGGTTCAGCAGCCATGTTTGTAGCAAAGAAGTACATAACTTTATACAGGCTCTCTACCCGAACACCACTGTTCAAGTGAGAACGTATGGCTAACTGTCATTAGAATTGATTACTTCAAGTAGTGTTCGGAAGGGCTGACCACTTTTTCTACTCTTATTCGACTTTGTTATTGACAGGCTTTTAAAGACGACACTTTCATCGTCTAAAACAGATATTAACGATGACGTTGAATAATTGTCACATCATATTAAAAATTGGTTGAAATGTGAGCAGTTGGATTCATATTCACATGGTCTGTCGGATAACCAGAAGCTTATTAGTTCTCTATAAGTCCCTTTACATTATATCAATTCATAATGAAATTCACTTTTTACAATCATTTTATTTCTCACTGTAACAGCATATAAGTAACTTCAAAAATTACAAATTAAATGAGTATCTCTTCATTTTTGTGTGAAAAAAGAACAAATACATATGGGGAAAGTAGAATTTGAATAGAAATATTAAGGGCAGGATCACTGAATACTTACTTAATTCTCTAGCTGTCATATTTGGTCGAATTGGATAATTTAACGCTTGTAATTGATTGATCTCTTCATTCATAACTAAAACTTCTAAACAATTTACTGTGCTTGTTGTATGAATTGGGGATGTTGGAGAAGAGGTTTGTATGTTTATGCTTGAAGAATGTGATGAAGAAGCTAGATTACATGTACTAGTTGAAGGTGTCAATAAAACTTGTTGTGCAATCCATGGACGCCATCTTGATTGCGTATTTTTGTTATTATTATTATTATTTTGATTCAACAGAATAGAATTGAAATGATCTTCATTCAATGTTAAATGTGAGATTGATTGAGGTTTTGATAGATTTGAACATTGTCTTCGAATCATATTTATGCCTAAATCAGGTGTTGTCAGCTGTTTCATATTCTGTTGTGTTTTAGTGTAAGAAGGTTTTATTTCTGTTGAATGTTCAATGTTAAGTATTTTGGGCAGATTTACCCCAGTGACAGTTTTTCTTCGACATGGTGGTATGATTTGTCGTCTACCAAATTCTGTGGTGAATTGAAATAAACCATTTTTATTTTCGATAAACTTTGAATTTTTTTGTTTCTGTTGAAATGGAATGAATTTCGGTGAATCTGAATTATATGGATTAGTTATATTATGTGAGAATTCATCTTGAGTCTGTAAATTAAAATATACATTTATAAAAAGGGGTTTCAAAAAAATGTTATTCACTAAAATAAGCTGAGACAAAAGAAAACAAGGTGATTGAAATTAGAACATGGTTAGCAATTAAAACAAATAAAAACACTAAAAGAATTTGTTGAGAATAGTAGATTCAATTCGAAATGAAGATTTTATCCCTTTCAATCAATCAAGTAACACTTCTTTCTTTATCAGAAAAAGTTTACTTCTTTCCATATCATGGAAAAATTTAGAATCTGTTGTTAGTTGAGCTGGTATTTCTAAAACTGAGAACATTTGGAACTCAAAACAACTATCAACAAACACCAAAGTAAGAATTTTCAGTACAAATGTCAAGACAGTTCTACTGTATGGGGCGGAAAATTGGAAAACCAAGAAATCCACCATCCAGAAGATACAAGTATTCATTAACAGTTATTGACGCAAAATACTTCGTATCGTTTGACCAGACATCATAACAACAATCTTACTGTGAGAGAGAATAAACTACATTCCAGTGGAGGAGGAATTCAGGAAGAATTGCTGAAAGTGAATACAACAACCATTGCGGAAAGCAGCCAACTGCCTCACAAGACAAGCCCTCACATGGAACCCTCAAGGTCAAACGAAAAGAGGAAGGCCAAAGAACATACTACGCCAAGAAACAGAGAAAGACATGAGAAGAATGAGCAAAACTTGGACAGAACTGGAAAGGGAAGCCCAGGAGAGAGTAAGTTTGGAGAATACTGGTCGGCCTGCCTATGCTCCATTTGAGGGTAACAGGCGTAAGTAACTAAGTAAGCACAAATAACACTACTTTAACTTATATAATGAAGATGACTATTGACTAATAAACCGTTGGAAAATAAATTCTCTGTATTAAAAGTTTACTGGTGATTGTAACATCATATGATAACTAATCAATTAAAGTGTTTTGTAATTTGGTCGTTTAAATTGATTTTTAAGAGTTTTTATATAATATTTATATAATCTTTGTTTATTTTTGTTTTTCATTGTAAAGATATCTGTGTATTATAAAGTAGAATATTATTTATTCACTTAACTAACTATTCCTACTAATATATTCTATTCAAATATCACACTACACAATGTTGAATTTTTTCCAAATTGCATTACATCAAACAGAATGAAGGACTTCATAGACGCCCAACTTCGAGATCACAGGCCGGATTTCGTAAGGATCGATCGTGTACTGACCAAATTGCTACATTAGAAATCATTGTGGAACAATCAATTGAATGAAACTCACCACTCTACATCAACTTAATCGACTACGAGAAAGCATTCGATAGCGTGGATAGGAAAAAACACTGGAGGCTTCTTCGACACTACGGGGTGCCTGAGGAAATAGTTAACATCATACGGAATTCTTATGATGGATTCAACTGTAAAATCGTACACGAAGGACAGCTAACAGACTCCTTTGAGGTGAAGACCGGTGTCAAGCAAGGTTGCTTACTCTCACCCTTTCTCTTTCTCCTGCTAACCGACTGGATTATGAAAACGTCAACATCTGGAGGGAAACACGGCTTACAGTGGACAGACTAGACACAGTTGGACGACCTGGACTTCGCAGATGATTTGGCTCTTCTATCGCACACCCAACTTCAAATGCAACAGAAGACGGTCAGTGTAGCAGCAGCCTCTGCAGCAGCAGCAGCAGGTCTCAACATACGTAAAGGAAAGAGCAAAATTCTCGGATGCAACACAAAATGCACCAAACAAATCACTCTTGATGCAGATGCGTTGGAGGACGTTAACACCTTTACATATCTGGGCAGCATAATCGACAACCATGGTGGATCGGATGCAGATGTGAGGGCACGGATTGGCAAAGCAAGGGCTGCATTTCTACAGTTGAAAAATATCTGGAACTCCAAACAACTTTCAACCAAAACCAAAATCACGATTTTCAATACAAATATCAAGACAGTTCTACTGTATGGAGAGGAAACTTGGAGAACTACCAAAGCCATCATCGAGAAGATACAAGTGTTTATGAACAGCTGTTTAAGCAAAATACTTCGGATCCGTTGGCCAGAAACAATCAGCAACAATCTACTGTGGGAGAGAACAAACCAGACTCGAGTGGAGGAGGAGAAAATCAGGAAGCAACGGTAGAAGTGGATAGGACACACATTGTGAAAAGCACCCAAATGCCTCACAAGACAAGCCCTCACATGGAACCCTCAAGGCAAAAGGAAAAGAGGAAGGCCAAAGAATACATTACGTCGAGAAATAGAGAAAGATATGAGAGGAATGAACAAACATTGGACAGAACTGGAGAGGGAAGCCCAGGACAGAGTTGGTTGGAGAAAACTGGTGGGCGGCCTATGCTCCATTGGGGGTAACAGGCGTAAGTAAGTAAGTAAGTAAATCTACTGTTACTAATAATGTGACATTTAAACACAATAATACTAATTCATTGATGAAGAGACTTAGATCAAAATGACAAAAGTCAGACATTAACACCTTTTGATGCCGGCTCAATA